ATCAACAGCCGACGAGCGGCCAAGGAGGACTAGCAGGGATGCACTCCCTTTCGATCTCCTGGCAAGGGCCCTCCCACAGGACCAGCAAGGCAGTCTCCACCCCAAAACCGAGCCTGACGCCAGACTGAAAGCAGTCGAGAGGGTCGGTTTCCTCCAAGAGTGCCCGGAGCTCCCGGGCCGCTACCTGCTTGAGCACCTTGCCCCCAAAAGTGACGCTAGCCACTGGTCTGCGGTTGGTGACATCCTCTGGGTCCAGGTTCTCCTCCTTCAAGAAAGGCTTGATCACTGCCTCCTTCAAAGGAGAAGGCACCCGAATCCAAACCCGAACCCTGTACCTGTGACACCCATTCCTGTGCCCCAAGTGCAGGCCTCTGCACTGACCCACACTGAATGCCATCCTGCTGTCCCCCGCCCACTTCCACGGCCTGTCCGCATCCATCTGGATCACCTGCTCCTCGGTTGTGGCCACTTTGCTGTCACCTGCGATATGAGTCAGCAGACTGGCTGTCCGCTCCTCCAGGCCACTGATAAAAAGGCTGAACAGAACTGGCCCCAGGAATGAGCCCAGGGGAACTCTGCTTGCCACCGGCTGCCATCCCAATGATTCCCCACTGATAGCCACCCTCTGCTTGCGGTTCGTCAACTGTGCCCTAATCCACTGGACCGTTCATCGATCTATCCCAAAGGTCAACAATTTCTCCACCAGGATATCATGTGGCACTTTGTCAAAGGCCTTGCTGCAGTCTAGTCAAACCACATCCACCACATCCCCTCCCTCAAGCCACCTCAAGACCTTATCATAGAATTGCATAACATTCATCTGGCAGGATCTATTTTTTCCAGAATCCGTGCTGCATGGCCACCAACCTCCCACCCGCTATGTAGGGTTTCTAGAGCTTTCCCTATTATGAGCCTTTCCATAGAAACATAGAAACAGAGCAAGTCAGAAGGGGCCTCCCGGGCCATCTAGTCTGACCCCCGGCTCCAGCCGGCTCCGCTCACGGCATGCCCACCATGTGGACGTCCAGCCTATCCTTGAACACCCTCCCTGATGGGGCCTCAACCACCTCCCGGGGAAGCCCATTCCACATCATCTTTCCCAGAATGGACGTGAGGCTAACTGGCCTGCAGTTCCCCATATCCCCTCTACTACCCCTTTTTGAAGATTGAAACCTTTGATGCCACCCTCCAACCCTACAGAACTTTCCCCAAGATTTTCTACATGCACAATTTAACTGTCTAATGATTATTCTCCAACTGTATATGACTTTGAAAAGTTACAAAATATTCCTAATTCATCTCTTGTTATATTACACTTTTCCCATTTCCATCCCTAACCATCCCAAATGAATTTTTAAATTTTCTTTTGTTGTGTAGAATTGGCCAACAAAAGAAATCCTGAGATCTTATTACTCAATTCAAAATAACCCTTCTTCAAATATATTAAATTTCGCTGCATTTAACTTCTACATTTTCTATTTCCTTTCTTTTAGCTGCATTTCTACCTGTATTTTAAAGCTCTCTTTTGTATATATTTCTTCTCTAGTTTATTTCCCTTTCCAAATTTTCCACCTGTTTACTCTTTTTTATTTTTAATATAGATACCTCTTTAATACTTATCCCTCTTGTAACTGCCTGCATTGTATCCCATACTAAACCTTAAAGCTATACTAGCTTTTTATTGTTAATTTCCCAAATTTCCTTTAACTCTTTCTCCATTTTATTTACTATATCCCTAGATTGTAATATATTTGCATCCACCCTCCATCTTTTACTCTCCTTATAATCTTTTACTTTTCCTTATAATGAATTTCAGGTTTTAATTCTAAAATCCTTATTTATCAAAGCAAGATCTGTCACTTTTATAACACCTATGTTTGATTCACAGACTCTACTAAACAAATCTTTAGAAACAAATATATAATCTAATCTGGAACAGGATTTGTGAACTGAGGAATAGAAAGTAAACCTTTTTTCATTCCCATTTAACTCTCTCCGTAATCTTTCAATCCATTTTCATTTACCAATTTACTCAATAATGTAATATTATGCTTTCCCCCCTTTAATAGGATTTTGCTTGTCTCTTGTTTTATTTATTACCTTGTTGAAATCTCCAGTCAATATTATATATCTTTATTATTTTTTTTTCTTTTAAAACCTTTTTAGGACAAACATTTGATTTTCATTTGGCCTATAAATATTAATTAATACAGAGTCTTTCCCCCTTATTTCACCCTGTAATATTAAGTATCTTCCTCTTTCATCTTTCTTTACTTTATTTACCTTAAACTCAGCTTTCTTAAAGATAATAATTGCTACTCCCCTTCAAAGGCTTTTTCAACCATGTTGCTTTAAGTTCATTTACCCCTTCCTTTTTCTGATGTCTCTCCTGTAAAAATACACAAACTGCTTTTTCTTTATTTATCGTCACTTCAATTTATTTCCTTTTAATTACACTCCCTTGACCTTTAACATTCAAAAATACTGATCTCAGTTATAACCATATCCGCTTGAAAACATGTACCTTATTTGGTCCCTATATATAAAGAGAAAAGACAGTCTTCCTCCACGACAGCCCCCCAACTTCTCTTTACCCCCACACATATTTATTTGTGTTGTAAGCCGCCCTGAGGCTTCGGCAAGGGGCAGCATAGAAATGTTCTAATAATAATAATTTATTTTATTTATTTATATTGTGATTTATACCCTGCCTTTTTCCTACAAAGGGCTCAAGGCAGCTTACATCTCCTCCTCCATCTTATCCTCACAACAACAACCCTGTGAGGTAGGTTGGGCTGAGAGTCTGTGACTGGCCCAAAGTTGGCTCCATGGCTGAGCGGGGACTCGAACCCAGATCGCCTGAGTCCCAGCCCCATGCTCCTAACCACTACGCCACACTGGCTCTCTGTTTAGTATCTCTTCCCCTTCCCCCATCTCTGTATTCCCCCCCTCTTATTTTATGTCACGGTCTTATATCGATACTGGAAGAGGTCGTGCATCCGCTGGGGCTGCAGGAGCTCACACGGAAAGGAGAGCGGGGCATGTGCTTCCTGGGAAGCCGCCTGTGACCGGTTACACCAAGCACGGCAGACAACAGCTTCTGTAGCAGCCCAGGCTTTGACACCCTGTTCGTCAGCCTCGGTTCTCGAAACGGCTCGGGCTGGCTTCCAAAAATGGCCTGCGAGGGTTTGGTGCCGCTTCAGCAGGCTGAGACATGCTGCACCGAGGACGGACGGACGGACGGACGGACGGACACTCAAAGAGTCGCAGCACACGCAAGCAGCTTTCTGCAAAGACAATCCCTGGCTGGGGCTGCTGCACCATGTGAACCGCACCAGAGGGGTTTATTGGAAGGTTAAACAACCCTGGAATAAACTCTGGTCTGGAAGGATACGTCAAACTCTGAGGTAAGTCAAGTCTAGTTCTGCACCTACGAAATCCATCCGTGTTTTAATTATGGAGAGTATTAGCTATTGGGTGGATCAGAAATGCAGCAAATAACGGTGCAGAAAGATGTTGATCCAAAAGGTGTAGAGAATGAGACAGGTCACAGGCCAGCGCCTTTTCAGGGCGGTCCTTCGGCAGTCACTTCCGTGCCCGTGTAGTGTTTTGTGGGAGAAGAGCGCCTGAAACCCTTCCCAGCCCAGGGCCAGCCTTAGACTCCTCTGGCACAGGCGTCTGAGATGCCGCCGTCCTGCAGAGAGCCCACGGGAGAAACTCGCCCCAGGCAGAACGAGGCCAGAGGTGGGGAAATGGGCCGTGGGAACGTCATGGTGAGGGCAGCGGGCTGCGTGCCCCAAAGGCTCCCGTGCAAACAGCAGCCCTGCACAGCACCACTCACCACAGAGGCGGCAGGGTTGTGGAGCGGGGGCGCGGAGTCCTGCCAGGGGCTGCTCCTGCAGAAACATTTCGCAGGCGTTTCAACCAGTAAAGCAGCATTCCAACTTGAGTAGATGTCCAGGAATATGGGAGTACGAGGGCTTCTAAGCCAAGTCAGGAGGATTTCTGATCCCAAAAGACAGGTTTCACCTCAAATCATTTTATTTATATATTGTATTTATATTCCACCTTTTTTCCTTTCAAGGAACTCCAGGCAGCTTACATAATCCTCCTACTTTCAATTTTATCTTCACAACAGCAACCCTGTGAGGTAGGTTGGCTGAAAGTCACCCAGTAAGTTCCACACCTGAGTGGGGACTAGAATCTGGACCTTGCGGGTCCCCAGTCCAACACTCTAACCACTAGGTCACACCAGCTCTCAATTAGCACTGCTTCGGCTTTCCAAAATCTCTTGCCATTGTGCTATCAATTTACATTTTAAGATGGGAGTCAAGTCATTCAGTAGAATCCCTGCATGTCTTGTGACAAGCCGCTCTGCCATTCGGGCAAGCCAGGGCATTCATCACGCTTAATTCCAACGGACTACAAAGCACCAAAATGATCATCCCACAGACAGGCCCTCTCAGTAGAAAAAGACAGCAGAAAGCAACAAGGTGCGTGGTCCACCTGAGGAGGTGTGGTTAGCAAGAAACGGCAGAGGGCGCAGAACGCTGGTCTGGCAGGTTGAGGCAGTAAATAGAGGCCTACAAGTCATCTAGCCGTAAGCACAGGTCATCCTCGGTAGGCTTTCTTTAATATTGCCATTATTGCCATTAGATTTATCTCCTGCCCTTTTCCTTTTTGAAGACCTCAAGGTGGCCTACATTCTCTGCCACCTCCTGCTCTCCGTCTTCTCCCCACAGTGACAACCCTGTGAGCCCTGTTGGGCTAAGAGTCGGTGACTGGCCCAAAGTCACCCAGTTGGCTCCATGGCTGAGCGGGGAGTAGAACCGGTTTGCCCGAGTCCCAGACCGGCACCCTTAACCCCCACACCACACCGGCTCTCTAATGGCTTCCTTGCCATCAAGTGCCGCTCCCACAAGGACTTGGGGCTTTTGGCCTTCTGAAGGGCTCCTCTGAACATTGCAAGAAGAGATGTGCTGAGCTTTACGCCCACTTACCTTATCGAGTTTCAGCTCCAGTTCTGTCACATCCCCTTCTACATCTTCCAAAGCAGCCCTACAAGGGGAAGCACACAGAGGAGTGAAACCTCACACAATCCACACACACTGTCCTCAATGAGAAGATTGCCAGTTGTTAGCCATGCACAAACTCAACACAGAACAGTTCTTTCAGGCTCAGAACGGCTTGCCATGGACCTCTGTGGAACATCATGAAACCCACACACAGAAGAGGTGTTCCATACAGGCTGGATGCATGAAATTTAGGGGGTAAAGGACTGTAGAAATTGGACACCCTTACTTTTGTAAAACTTTGACATATTTCTTGAATTCCCAGTAATTTCAATATAACTTGCTTTCACACTGAATAATGTTAGAACCATACCCTCTTTGTGCATTATTATCAAGAAGCAAAAGACAACATAAACAGCACGGCCATAGCAATGACCCAGGGCCACCTCCATCTCCAAAAAGACACCAAACCAGGCTTCTGAGTGTCCGCCTGCAAACAAGCATGATGGTTCCACTAAGCCGACACTTTCCACGGTCATGCCAAAGTTCTGCGTGAAAAATTGCCACCCTGGCGCCATATAACCTACTGGGCAAAGTCTGGCAGACGGTGCAGATTTTCTCACCCTGCCTGCCTTTCCCAGGTTACACCTCTTGGACGCGCTGAAGATGCGCTTCCTCACTCCGCTGTGGATGCGCAGGAGCCACAGGCGCAGGAGCCCTCCCGGGCCCTTCCCACACAACGGCCCCACCCACCCGGCGCAGGATCCCCATCCAACCGCAGCCACCAGAGCACGTCGCAGGGCCACTCCCACACCAGGCAGCCGGGCCGAAAAGAGGCCCATGCTGCTCAGAAAAGCAGGCGGATGTCCTTTCCTTTCTGAGCAAAAGCGAAGGGGACATTTAGGTCATCACTGCAAAGAGTCACCTCTTTACGTGGGAGGGACAATGGCTGTCCCCACCTTGCCAAAAGCTTGGGCCCTTGGCTACTGAGGGGCCGAGCACCGGCACACAGTTCAACACCTGCAACTGTCCTAAAAGCCTCCCAGAGCGACGGACAGCAGGGACCAGGCTGCCTGCGGTTACCGCGCCGCAGCAAGTGCTGGAAGCATCGCCTGACCTCCTCCCGCGAGCCATTCTTCCCCGCTGCCCTGCTGCAGGTGCCGCAAGGGGCCGGGGTTTCGGGGGCCGAGGGACCTCTTCCCTGGCAAGCTGCAGGCAGCGGGTTTAGTGAACAGAGAGCCAAGCTCGCCCACCACAGTCTGTAGTCACAAGAGAGCCCCTTCCTACATTGCTTGTGGTGTGGCTGCAGACAGCAGTTCGCCTTGCTTTGCAAAGGCATTTCCTTTAAGATCACACTTCTCAAAAAGGTCACTCTCAGACTGAAAGATTTCAACATTGTGCAACAGGAACAGGCCGCGCCGCCAGCCTCACAAGCGAGGTGCAGCGAGGGGCGGCCAAAGCACAGAGCCTTTCGCCCCACGGGATGAGAGGCTACGAGGAATCACTGAGTCGCTGCCTTTGGGGTGGGATCCTACGCCTGCCAAGGCTGACACTGAGGAGGTTCCCAGCTGACTCACTAACTGGCTGGAAGCCCATGTGGAAAGGGGTGGCCTGGCCCCGCCGGGCTCCTGATGGCATCTGAGCGCAGGGCCAACTCTGCGTGATCACAGCCTTGCCGGGTGCCATACATGGAATGAACCCTTACAAAGAGCTTTGGGGTGCTATGCGGACCAAGCTTTTCAAATCACGGGCACCAGGAGCAGCTCAGCAGCACGGCTGATCTCGCCAAAGGCGAGCAACGCCACTTCTCCCCCATGAGAGCAGAAAGCGGCCGGAGACCAGCACGCCAAGGGCAATGCTGGCTTGTTCCTCGCGGAACTGTGATACGGCAGAGCGCCTGCCTGGAGGCGCACCAAACGCCTGCTTGCCACGTCTCAGCACAGCCCTGGGGCTGCTCTCCACTATCAGCAGGCTCTGCGCGAATGGGACTCTGAACACCCCACTGGCGCAGCAGGTCGAGGGCAGAGCTGTGGCCCTCTGCCCAGGCATCCCGGGTGCGATGACCATTTCACCGGCGGGGGTGGGGGAGATGGTAGGGTGCAGCGGTTTCTCACAGTGCCAGGCAAAATCAGACGTCCCCACAAACACTTTCCATCACTAAGACATGGCTGCTCGCAAGCATGCAGCAACCACAGCTGGCAGAACCCTGGTGTAAGAATTCTGACTGGATGTGGGCTACCGGACTGGATGAGGGAGGAAGCCCCCCTCTTGCTTGCCTAGCCTCTTCTTCAGGCACAGAGCATGGCTGCTTGACTTACTTTCCCGGAGAACAAAAAGAAGCCGCACCCACTGCTAAAGAACAGAGGCAAACCAAGAACCGCCAGCCTCCTCCGCTTGGCTCTGAGGAACCCGAGGGCTGCTTTTTATGCAGCAAAATCAAGTGCGCCCAGGACCTGACACCTGAAATCCTTCTGACACTTACTTACTTACTTATTTAAAACATTTCTATGCTGCCCCCATCGCAACAAAGCCTCGGGGTGGCTCACAACAAAACTTGGACCACAAAACAAGAAATCTCCTGAAGCTGTTACAGGAGCCAAATGGATTTCAAATGCTCTGCATTCAATTTTAAAAGGGCCACAGAATCTGAAAGAAAATTCAGTTGCGCTACAATGATAAAAACAAGCACACACTGGCCACACTGTGAAAGAGGGATAGAGGGAGAGAGAGCCATCCTGCGCTCACACAAAATCAAGCAAATGCAGAAATCAGCAGTAGCTCAGCGCAGCGCTATTAGAGGGAACAGGCAGAATCTCAAGTCAGGACACAAGCAAAACTGAAGGGGCTGAAGATGCAAGTCCCTCTTGTGCTCCATTAAAGAACTCAGGCGAGAGGATGCTTATTATTTAGCATATTTCTCACCCATTTTTCCCTCAAGAGACTGAAAAAACTTTACACTCATTGCTCCTGCTGAAAATTCACCACCAAAACTAACCATCTCCCAAGAGCTGTGCTGGATCCAACCGAACGTCTACTTCAGCGGTGGCGAACCTGTGGCACGTGTGGCACAGCGGGCACGCAGAGCCCTCTCTGCCAGCACCTGAGCCAAGTTGCCCCAGCATCGCCCCAGCAGCCGAGCCTCGGATAACAGCGCACACAGGGGCCACGCGCATGAACGAAGACGTGGTCCGAGCTTTCGCATGGCCGGTCAATGCGCTGCCAAGGAGATACATATATTTGCTTGGACTGGCTGTGAGGCGTTTTTTCTAAATTAAAACCTTAGTATTCAGGTTTTATTGCAGTGTTGGCACTTTGCGATAAATGTGTTCTGGGTTGCAGTCTGGGCACTCGGTCTCTAAAAGATTCACCATCGCTGGGTTAAGGTTAGGAAAACGGGGCATCCTGGCATGATTTTGATGGTTGGAATGTGTTTAGAATGGGCAGAAATGATGTGCTGTGCAGAAAAATCTACTCAAGGAGGGCCTTTTCAAAATCGCCCCTTTTAATGGAACTATACCCCTCTATTTGGGTTAGGGGTGTGCATCAGGGTAGGGTTAGGAAAACGAGGTGTCCTGGAATGATTTTGATGGTTGGAATGTGTTTAGAATGGGCAGAAATGATGAGCTGTGCAGAAAAGGCTATTCAACGAAGGCCTTTTCAAAATTGCCCTATTTTGAATGGAACTTAAGCCCTATACTAGGGTTAGGGGTTTGACCCAGGGTAGGGTTAGGGTTAGAAAAATGAGGTGTCCTGGCATGATTTTGATGGTTGGAATGTGTTTAGAATGGGCAGAAATGATGAGCAGTGCAGAAAAAGCTAATCAAGGAGGGCTTTTTCAAATTTGCCCTCTTTTCAATGGAACTTTTGCCCTCTGTTAGGGTTAGGGGTGTGCGCCAGGTTAGGGTTAGGAAAACGAGGTGTCCTGGCATGAATCTGATGGTTGGAATGTGTTCAGCATGGGCAGAAATGATGAGCAGTGCAGAAAAAGCTACTCTGGGAAGGCTTTTTCAAATTTGCCCTCTTTTCAATGGAACTTTTGCCCTCTGTTAGGGTTAGCGGTGTGCACCAGGTTAGGGCAGTGGTGGTGAACCTATGGCACACTTCCCACAGTGGGCACACAGAGCCCTCTCCATCCACATGAGCCAAGTCGCCCCAGCATCGCCCCAGCAGCCAAGCATTGGATAGCAGCGCACACAGGGGCCATGCGCATACTCGGAAAGGAGTAGCGGCACCAGGCGATGACGTCACGAGCCACAACTCATTAGCCATCCCTCGTCCGAGCTTTCGCATGTCTGGTCAGTGTGCTGCCAAGGATATATACATATATTTGCTTGCACTGGCTATAAGGTGTTTTTTCTAAACTAAAACCTGTTTTCAGGTTTTATTGTCGTGTTGGCACTTTGCAATAAATAAGTGGGTTTTGGGTCGCAGTCTGGGCACTCGGTCTCTAAAAGGTTCGCCATCACTGCTCTACTTGGTTCAGCATTCTGGGCCTGCCTGGATTCCACCACTCTATCTGTGACCATGGGGTTTTGCCCAATGTGCATCTTTTTACATTTGCTTCCATGTTTGACATTTTGGTGCCCATTCTCCCAGTTTGGAGAGATCCTTCTTGCACGCCTCACAATCTACTTTTGTTTGCAATGCCCTCATTAATTTAGTCCTATCAGTAAACTTGGCCACTCCACATGTAATTCTAGATTTTTTTATTTTAAAAAGCACATTAAAATATATATCAATATATTAAAATATAGTAAAATAATTCCATTATGTGAATTCCTCTACCACCTGCCTTGGAAGCCCATTCCATATCTGAGGGGTTCTAACTGTCAGGAAGTACGTCCTGACATCCCACCCGAAGCCAGGTTCCTTGAGCTTTGCCCCATTGGAAGGCATCCTGCAGGGAAGAACAGGTGAGATACATGAGTGGATGCAGAAAATACTCAAAACTGACTTTCTAATGAAGAACAAAGTACTTCCTGCCGGTCAGGATATGGAGTGGGCTTTCACAGGGGTGGGATGAAGGCCCCATCAGTGAGGGCATCTAAGGAAAGCTTGGACAACCACATGCTGGATATTACATGAGTGGAGCTGGCTGGAGCCGGGGGGGGGGGGGTCAGACCACATGGCCCGGGGGCCCCTTCTGTCTGGCCATCCTTTAGTTTCTAATTAGGTGTTTAGTGACAGGCCACACCCACCCTGACAACCTTTCTGGGAGGGCACTCAAATGCACCCGTTAGCCAAAGAGGCCAGGGACCCAGCCTCTAATTGGAGCTGAGCAGCTTTTTCAGAGCCTGAAGCTGGGCGTCCCTGGCGTGGGACCCCTTGAGTTGCCCCTCCTTGTGGGTGGTGTGCTTCGGCGGCAAATACGCCTCTTCCCTCCCCAAGGAAGTCTCCCAGGACTCGGTTCAACCAGGGACCTGACACTCAATGCCTGCATGCCATTTCCTGGATCCCTTTCTTAAGGCAGGCATCACACTGGCCACGGAGCAGGCACAGTGGCACCTAGAGGAGCAGGGAAGATGCAGAAGCGGATGGGGGGCTGCGCACACATGTTGCATTGTTTCTGGGTGAGACTAAATACACGAAGAACAAGCTAATACTAGATATTGCAATCTCTTCCTTCTCTTTATTATTTGTTCTGATAGTACCTGCTTTCCCACGGAGGGGCTGTGTGGTGCAGCAATGAGAGTGCTCAATGGGGACCTGGGAGGCCATGTTCTAGTCCCTACTCTGCCATGGTGACTTTGAAACAGTAGACTCCCGACTTAACCTACCCCACAGGGTTGTTGTTGTGAGGATAACCCTGAGAGGAGGAGGAGGAGCCCTATATGGGAACTCTGCTGCTTTGCACTTCTAGACAATGGCATTCCACGTGTTCTCAAGGTTAGGCTGAAAGCAGCTTTGTAACTATACTGGGGCAGTGGAGATCACCTGAGACGGAAACTAGATAGGTGGATCCACAAAAGTTTAAGAACCCCCTCGCCCCATTCATGAACTCTGGTGCCTCTCCTTAAAAAAAAAAAAAGATTAACACAGAGTACAGGGTTAGATGTTTGTGCTGTTCACACAATTAGTTGCCATTAATTTGCCTTGTGCCATAGTCCTTCTGGGACAATACTGGAAAGGATTTAGTAGACATTATGAGTGCATTCACGAGTCAGACAGTAAAGAGACGCAGCTGGCAGGTTAGCCTGCAAAATGCAGCGCTGTCCAGGTCTCACAGGGTCACCTGGCTTCTCCTCGGCCCATTTCCACGCAGCTACACTGCAGTTCAGAAAGCGGACCATCCCCGCCCTGCAACGACAACGGAACTCACATGACCGGGCTACTGCGGCTACGCGGTTTCTTCACATGTAATTGACACCCCAAGGCACTGCCTTGCCGGGCAGCGCCGAGCCACTCGCGGCCAGGCCAAGGGGTCCCGCTTCAGGCCGTGCAGCCTGGAGGGCTAACGTTCTCTGCAGCGAGTCCCCAAGCTCCGAGCCCAGCGGCGGGTCCGGGGCCCTGCGAGGCTCCGGCGTCTCTCCGGCCCACCGAGCTGCCTGCCAGCGGGACGGGATGCGCAGCACGCCGAGGCCGCGCTTCTTGCCGGACGAGCCCCGCGGGGCCCTCCCTGCTCCGACCTGGACACTTCGCATCCGTCACTTGCAGGCGGCGGCGGCAGCGGCGGGAGGCCTGCTCTCGCGTTGCCTCGCTGGCCTTTATCCGGAGGAAGCGGGGAGGCTGCGCCCGGTCCGGCCCTCTGGCAGAGAGTCACGGCTCCCCCGGCGAGAGGCCCGCGCGGCCGAGCGACGGGAGGAGCCCCTCCGCAGGCCAGACGTCGGGGGAGGCTCGGCCCGGGGCCCCGCGCAGGCAGCCCGGGCGCCCCAGGCGCGAGTGCGCGGCCCGTCTCCCGGCCGGCGCGGGCGGCAGCGCGGAGCGAGGCGCCGGGAGAGCCGCCC